AATCCAAGGTTGCCGAGTTTGCTGAACCCACTGCCGAGGAGAAGCCTGCTACTGAGGAAAAGGCTGTCGACGCCGCTCCTGAAACCATCGCAGAGTCTATCGTCGAAGAAGCCCCCGCCGCGGCAGCTGCCGTGGAAGAGTCAAAGCCTGTCGAGGCTGCTCCCGAAGCCGTCCAGGAGACACCCGCAGCCGAGGAATCCAATGTTGAGGATGTTGCCGAGCTTGTCACCGAGGAAACACCGATCGCTGAATCCGCCACGGAAGAGTCGAAGCCCATCGAGGCCGCTGCCGAAACCGTCGCTGAACCCGCTATCGAGGAGACTCCCGCCGCTGAAGCTGCAGTGGAAGAATCCAAGGTTGAGGAGGTTGCTGAGCTTGCCGCCGAAGAAAAGCTTATCGAGGCTGCTCCTGAATCCGTCGCAAAGCCTGTCATCGAAGAATCTTCTGTTGTGGAGGAATCAAAGACTGTCGAGGCTGTTCCTGAAACTACCCAGGAGGCCCTCACCACTGAAGCAGCCGTTGAAGAGTCCAAGCTTGCTGAGGAGCCAGTGACCGAGAAGGTGGTTGAGGAACCCGCTGTTGAGGCAGAGGCCGAGAACAGCACCGACACCACCCTGATTCCTGAAACTGCTACAGAAGCCACTGCTGTGAAGTCGACTGTCGACGTTTCCGAGGCCAAGGAGGAAGTCATCTCTGAGCCCACCAAGGAGGTGGTCGAGGAGGCTCCTGTTGAGCAGACTGCCACTGAAGAATTGGCTGCTAAGCCAGCCAAGGAGATTGAGTTTGCTGAGCCGGTTTCAGAGCAGACAGTCGATGCTGCCAAGGAGGCTGTTGAGGTGGAGCTTACCACTATTGAGCCCGCTGCTGGAGCAACTGAAGGGCATACTGACGTTATCGCCGAGGAGGCCACAGATGAGAAGGCCCAGAAGTCTGTTGAGGTCGAGTCTGTCCAAGAGACCACCGAAAAGGCCACGGCAGAGGAACCAGTCGTGGAGGAGCCTGTGGCTGAAATTACCGAGGACTTGACTACTGAGTCCCACGCTGTCCCAGAGGCTGCTGAAGCTGTTGTTGAGACTGCCGCTGTTTCTGAGGCCGCCGCCGCTGTCGTCGAGGAAAACACCGCTCCTACTGAGTCTGTGCAAGAATCAGTGGAGGAAGCTATCCCCGCTGAGACTGCCAAGGAAGTCGCCATTGATCAGCAAGAGGCTACGAAGGCCGAGGAAGTGGCTGAGCAGATCACCGAAGAGCCCATTGCTGAGACCTCTGCTCCGGAGCCGGTTGTTGAAGATGTTCCCGTTGCAACAGAGACTTCTGTTGAAGAGGCTACGAAGGAAATTGTCGCTGAGGAGCCTATCAAGGTTTCTGCCGAGGCTCTTGCCTTTGTTGATATTACTGCGGACAAGGCCGAGAAGGTCGAGGAGAAGCAACCCAAGGTTGAAGCCGTTGCTGAACCAGTTGTTGCTGAGCAGACCGAGACTGCTGTCGCTGTCGAAGAGCCTGTCTCTCAGGACCCAGAGCTTGCTGCCGCTGAAGAGAAGCTCGTGGATGAGCCAGTCACTGTTGCAGATGCCGTTGAAGTTCCTGCCACCCCTGAGCCTGTAGCTGAGGTTGAGGCTGTTCTTGCTGAGCCTGCTGTTGCTGAAACTTCCGCTGTCAAGGAAAACATCATCGATGAGCCAGTTGCTGTTGTCGAAAATGCAGCTGAGTCCACTGCTGAGCCTGTTTTCGAACAGAGTTCTGAGGTAGTACCCGTTGTCGAAGAACCTGCCACTGACGTACAAGCGACCGATAAGGCTGAGGATTTGAAGGAGCCCGCTACTGTCGAGCCCACCGTCCAAGCTACTGAAGTTGTTGAGGCAACAGTTGTGGAGGAACAGATCGTCATAGAGCCTGTCAAGGCTGAAGAGCTCATTGAAGCCGCCCCAGCGGAGCAAACACCGGAGGCGGCTCCAGTGGAGGAATCTTCTACCAAGGAGCTCGAGCCCGAGACAATCACGGTCGAGGAAGATGCCATCGAGCAGCCCGCCGTCGTTGCAGAAGCGCCAGTTGTTGCTGAAGTTGTCGAAGAATCCGCACAGGAGGATGCCAAGGTGGAAATCGTCGAGGCCGAAGTTGTGGCTATTCCTGAGCCTATTGCCAGCGCAAAGGAACTTGAGGTCGTGGCCGAGACACCCAATGTGAAGGAGCTTATCCAGCCCTCCACCACTGATGTTGAAATTAAGCAGGAAGAGATCGCTGCTCCCGCTTCTGACGAAGCTCCTATCAAGGATACTAGCATCAGCGCTGAAATTATTGCTGCTGGCATTGCCGCTGCCGCCTTTGCCGGTGTCGGCGTGGCCGCTCTTGCTCACAATGAATCCGAGACTAAACCAGAAACCTCGAAAGATCAGAAAGATATCCACACTACCGATGCAGACAAGAAACCCATTACCAAGGCTGAGGCCCAGCCCCAAGTTTCCGCAGCAGATGCCCAGCCCACAGACGGTAAGCCAACACCGTTCTATCTTTCAAACCAGCAATCCGCTATTTCCTTCGAAACTGATCCCGCTCTTGCAGCTCTAGCTGGTGACCGCGAAGCCCTCCTCAGCAAACTCAACCAACCGTCTACCGACAAGCTATCCACGGCTACACAGCAAGTTACAGTTGAGAGTACCCCCGAGTCCCAGCCTACCACCGAACCCGCTGCAAATGTTTCTGGCGCCAAGCCTGCTGCCGACAACACTCTTAAACCCAAGGGTGATGAGGATACTCGTCCATCGAGCCAGAATCGGTCAGTGACTGCTGTTTCTCTAAATGGTGCACCTGACAGCTGGCTCAAAGCAATCCTGCGCACTGTCTTTGTGAATTTCTTTGGGGTTGTATTTTCACCTTTCCGTCGTGGAAAGGCCCCAAATTAAACTCCGTCTTGTGTTTTTCTGTGCTTTATGTTCTAGCCAACTGTTGTTTTTTTTCCCTTCGTGCTACACTTCTATTGAAGACTATTGTGGTCGTGATGCAGAATCTGCCTTCAAACGAATGAACTGACTTATCGATCAGCAATTTGTTTTGGACTGCGATTTTGGCCATACCTTTCCTGGCGGTTCTCTGGGGTTCATATGCTTGAGCACAGACAAATGAGCGTCGATCTAGGGACTTGTGGCGACCGCGGAAACAGCCAAGGGTCGGTCACGTGCCTTCGAAAACCCTGGGAACTCTGAGCACATGTGTCCGTGGCAATTACGAAAGTGCGTGAGACGCGAACTATAACCTCTTTTTTGCAGACCAGCCCACTCCGATTTTATTCCCCTGTATTATCCGGCTCTGTTTCCTATTTACGAATTCCATTGCGTCTTGCATTTGATTACTTTTATGGTTAATGGTTTCCCTTTGTTTTCTTCTATTCCATGTTGGCATTGGCATGGCCGGCCGCTCTTGATGGATCTGTCTGACTTGCCATGTATCCAGTATACTTAATGACATGAATTTAATGAATTCCTTCTACTCATAACGTTCTTTGTGTCTGTTTCCTTGTAACCTTTGCTTTCCTTGAATATGTGTTTGATTCTATGAGCTGGACTTGCTTTGTTCTTTGACTGTTGAACTGTGGCTAATATTTGTATATAAATCCATTGCCATCCATTCCTCTTTCCAACATTTTCAGGAATGGATTTGATTCACCTTTGCGTTTGCACTTCTTTCCTGGCGTGGGTTGGTCTTCTAGTCCATCCAATGAATGACAACGAGAGTGCAAACGCAGAAGCTCAAGGCTATGAGGCGCCCAAGTGGGTCGTTCCTTCGATATTGGGAATTCAATCATGGGCTTGTCTAGGCATTCGTGGTTGCCATTAGGGCGATTGATCATGGTTGTCACCATGAATCGTTGAGCACGTGCTCAGTTCCATTGACCCTGAATCTTTGACTTGTTCTTCGTCTTGTTATTGCCACACGCGTCCTTCTTTCTTCTTCCTGTTTTTCTCTCAACCATCGCATTTCCCATCTTTTTCTTTGAAAAACATCAGAAGACATGGCAAGAAAGAGTCAAGGTTAGTAGAATTCCTTTGTTCGTCAAGAATTAATTACCTTTCATCTCTTGTGGTGTCTGTTTTGACAGACTAGGGCCTCATTTCGACCGCGTTCATCCATAGGACTGGGCCTTTTCTTCAGAGTTGTCTCTCCTCCTAGGATTGAGCCTGGCTCTTGAGGATCAGGTCTCCTTTTCTTCGGAGTTGTCTCTTCTCCTAGGGATTGAGCCTGGCTCCTGGGGTCAGGTCTCTTCTCTATGAGCTTGAGCCATTCTGTCTGCGGAATCGGACCTCAGCTTGGCTCCTGGAAATCGGGTTCCTTGCTGTAGAACTAGGCATGATTCTTTTGAATCAGGCCTTTCGGTGGCTTTGGAGTTGGTTCTTTGGAATCAGATCTGCTTGGCTCTATGCAGGCAAACCCTTTCTATGACTGTCCTTTCTATGGAAGCAGGTCCTGCGGGCAAAGAGCTGTTCTTTGACCCACAGGATATGCTTCGAAAGAAAGAATAGAGAATGATGTGCTCAAAACCATGAGAAACGCCTATCACTTTGATCTCATGTAGTCAATTGATGGCTTTCACTTCAAGTTCATTTAAGGCAACAAGGGTTGGGAAGGATCGCTGACACTGGATATTCTTATAGATACCGATTCGGAAGGTCCCCGCGGCCGTACTGGCCGGCCTGAGACACCATCCTCCTCTGCGAACTCGTCTCGTTCTCGTCGCAGCACCCTCTCCCAGCGCGTGCACTTTGAAGAGCCCGAAATGTGCAACCCACTGGCATCTCCTCGTTCTGACGTGACTGTCACTGCAGTCCCAGTGCCTGTGCCTGCCAAGTCGACCAACCCTAAGGTTGGTTTGCCTTCGACGAGTGTTGCAGACAGTAGTGCGGAGTCGTTGGACCTGTCCGGTCCTTCACATGACAAGCGTAACGCGTTCTCCCAACGTTTGACCAAAGTCACTGTGCGCCCCCCTTCCCACGCTCCTCGCTCTTTCCTTCGTTCTTCCTTTCGTTCTTCCTTTCGTTCTTCTTCCATCCCCCCTGTTCCTCCTATTCCCGCCTCCATCCTGAAGAATCGACCTGGCAACATCACTATCAGCGAACTCAAACCTCGCTCTTCTTCTGCCCCGCCATCTCCGCCCAAGATGACTGACAGTCCCAATGTCCCGGAGGGTAACAACAAACCACTCCCCGTGTCTCCCTCCAGTAGATACGGCCCTCACACACCCAGCCCTCGTAAATCCATCTTCAGAAATGATGGCATATACCATCCCAGCGTCAGCCCCATGGACCGCGCTACCGGTGCCAGTTCTACCGGTGTTAGTCCTTCTGCTCATCGTTCCAGCCTGACCCTTAAGGATCTTCCTGAGGCTGTCCGATCTATTCAGTACAAATACGAGACCGACTTCAAGCAACTGGCAAAGAAGATCGACAACATTGAGAAAGTCGAACAGAAAGTTGAGGACTTTGTCACCATGACCCGGGACTACATCCAGGACCAAATGGATGCCCAACTTCAGCGCCAGTCCGACGGGGCCTTCGAGCTTACCAAAGCAAAGCTTGACGCGACTGAAGCTAAGGAGCAGGTTGAGGAGATCAAGGAGCAGATTCACGAAATGCGACTCGAAATTAATGGACTCACCTCATCTTTCAATGACCTGAGTGCCAAAGTTGACATGTGTCTCACTGGAATTTATGACAACACCGAAGAGCCATTCGTGGCCTACCAGCGTCGCAAAAACACAGAGATCGACGAAGATATTCAAGACATCGGAGATACAACCGTCGAGCAAGCAGCGCAGATTCTCTTCTTGAGACAAATGTTGATTCGCATTCAAGTTGCACTCAGAGTCTTGCAACACGAGCACGGTCTTAACGTTTCTGATGAGGTGGAAAAGATTCTTCCTCCCACCCCTTTCCCTATACGCGACACCGTTCCACCTACTGGTACTTTGAGAACCGTTTCCTCTCAGTCTGCAGCAATTCCGCCAACACAGGCCGCTACTCCAGTAACTACCCCTGTTCCAGCAAAGAGCCCTGCTTCAGCAACTACCACTGTCCCAGCAAAGACCACTCTTTCAGCGTCAGCGACTCCGCCAGCATCAGCCAGTGGATCAGCTACAATCACTCCACCAGGGTCTTCCACTGTGAAGCCGAGTTCTATTCCTCGTCGATCCAAGAAGATGAGTTTGAGGAAGTCCTCCAACGTATCCTCTGGCTCTACTGTTGCACAGGAGACCTCCGTCACCGAGGAAGAGACGGTTCCCCCTGTACCCGCCCTTCCCCACGGGATTCGCGTCCCCTTTGATGCTGCCCGGGATGTACCCATCCCCCTCGCCAATATTCACCCGCTCTTTAGAGCACAATTCAACGGGCGAAACGCCGAGGGCATCCCTGCGGCCGCTGTACTTCGGACTGGGGAGCCTTCGGGCCCCGTGTCCCAAGTTGAGACTCGCGAGGACGAGGCGCGCAAGTAAACGCGCCGGTTCAAGTCTCAAATGATACAACTACAAAAAAGAATATTACAGAAAAAAAAGTTAACAACAAAAATTCTCACAAAAAAAAGCACACCAGAAAAAAAAACCAAAAAAAGTACGTATGCTCACATCTTTGTTGGATTCGGAGGACTTGGGGCCAGGTTTGTAAGATTTTGTTGTTGTATATTAGCATGTCAATGAGAATGTTTGATTACAACTTCCCAAGAGTAGATTGTAGATGAATGTGCATGTAAAATTATTCAAAACAGTATTTACTTGGAAGAGGAAATCATCATCTTTTCAATCTCGACCGCCGACTCTCGCACCTGTGGACAGTAATGCAGACGCAACAGCTCACCCTCCCACACCGTACCAGCAAAGACATTGGTAGCTTCAACATCAGCAGCAAAAGCATTGAATACACCATCACCCTTGCGCTCCTCCGTGTGCCAGAGCGAAGAGATACGACGACCATGATATTTCGCGACTTGGTTCATCAGCGTAAGCGTTGCAAGAGCAGATTTCTCCGGCAACTGGAGGGAAGTCGTCATGAGACGCTTGGAGAAACTGGCAAGTCGGCTTGGGGGTGGGTTGCCGTGTGCGCGGGATAGCAGGGTTGGCTGTAAGCAGCGGAGGAGGAGGACCATGGGTGTCTGGAAGTTGACCTTGTTCTTGGAGCGGGACTCGGAGAGTTGTTTGCCTTCTGCGGAGGAGTTGGGGTCGGGGAGGCGGAGGGCCGTTTCGGGGTTATACTCGACGTCTGGGTTCATGGAAAGGGAGTAGAGGGATCGGTAAAGGTGCTTGATGAAGAAGTTCAGGTCGAGGTGGAGACCTGCGGCTGCTTTACTGACTTCTTGGCCTTCTAGAAGGGCGAAGGCAGTCACGGTGCAGAGTAGCGTCCTTCGGCGAGCGTCCCGGGCTGCGCTTTCGGCAATTGTGACATTGTCTTCGTCTTCGTCTTCCTCATTGACGACTTCCTGGTCGCCTTCAACGCCCATCTCCTCGCGCTCTGCGTGGTTGATTAGGTCTTTCAGGGCCTCGAGCAAATCACCGAAGAAGTCCTGGTTAATAAGGTGGGCGTATTTAGCCAGACCCTCAAGCACAGGACCCATCAGGGCGGGAATGCGGAGCTTGAGAATGCGGAAATAGAGTCCGAACACAAGCTTTAATGTTTCGGCTTGGTTCTTGTCTCTTTGTTCGTGCGATACCACTGCATCTGCTTGTCGCATGTCCTTCTCAACTTCCTTCCTCTCCTTTTGAACCTTGCGCTCTCGCTTGGTGCGGAATTCGCGCTTTTGCTTTTGCTTCTTTCCCTTGGGAGCTTCTTCTTCTTCCCGGTCCACTCGGTCTCGAGATGCCTTCAGGTGGAACTCGCCGAGCAAACGAAGATGGAGGAATGTGTCCAGGATACTGGGATGAATGTGGAAATCTCTGGCCTTCAACATCTTTGCGAGGAGACGGACAGCTTCGAGGGAAACAGTTCCATCGTCATCTTTTGCAAAAACCTCCTCCAGGGTTTCGCGGCACTTCACATAGTCGGCATCAAGCTGTCTCCGTGCCAGGCGGTTGACCAAGATCTTCAGAAGCTCGCTGCGGAAGTTGAAGTGTGGCACGGCCAAGAGCATAGTACAGGCCATCGAAATCGCGAAGCTCCTCAGTCCAGGGTCTGTGGGGCCATCTGCTTTGGCCGGCTTGACGAGCATAGCAAGCTTCTGGACATAGGCTCGATATCCTGACACAAGGGACTGTTCGAAATCTCGGAGCTTGCGCACTTCTTTTGATACTCTGCCAGTCTGGTCCTCTTCGCTCAACGGGCGAATGCGGTATCCGGGAATGACATCCTTGTAGACAGCCGCCTGTGAGGCCAGAGCCAGTTTCTTAACTGTAACAGGTGTGGATTTCTTCGACACCATCTCGGCCATTGTTTTGAACAGAGAGATGTGCTCCTCGGGATCCTCGTTAATCAGGGTTGCCATCTTCGCTAGCTCTTCTTTTGCCTGCAAGATTTGAACCTTCACAGGAATTTTGGGAGCTTCTTCCTCAGATTCTTCTCCGTCCTCCTCGCCCTCGGAGCCATCCTCCTCCTCATCATCATCATCATCATCATCGGTACCCAAGAAGCTGTCGGTTTCCTCACCCTGATCTTCAGGCTGTACTTCGGCCTGGACAAAGCCTTCGGAAGTTTTGATTGGCAATCGTGCGTTCTCGCCGGCTTTCTTGGTAGTTTTGCGTGGGCGGCGTTCGTAATCTTGCTCAACGTCCCACTCTTGGTCGGCTTTAGAGCGCGATGAGGAGTCTTCGACATCCGCTGGGGGACTCAATCGCCTCCGCTTCACCTCTGGGCCACGCGCCATTTTGCAATTGAAGATTTGGGAGATTGACGGTGAAATTTGCGGAGAATAGTAAAAAATGATCTTTAGAATGAAAAGGCGGTCCCGAAAATTCTAGGCGGAAAGACAATCATTGCTCTGATTGGCTCTTAATGTCCGTTTCATCGCTATGAATTTCAGGTCCGTTTCTTGGCGGTGAGATATTGCCCGACTTTTAGTTTTTTTCTTGTTCCTCACTTCCCGACAATACAAGCTTGCTGCTACTCAACCTCTTTGCTAAATCTTCAGCTTCATATTCGAAAAGATGAGATCCCTCACAGAAGTATGTGCATCTTGCAATCACCATCAATTACTTTGACTAACTCATGCCTCTTTTAGGAAGAAACACGGACGCTCTTCACAAAGCTAGCTTCCTATACTGGCCGCAGTCTCAATTCTCTTATCACCCCGGCCGAAGATGGAACTATGAGTGTTTTCCGCTTGCAAGGATCCCGGGTCTACTACGTGAACAAGGAGATCGCCAATCTGAGTGTTTCTTTTCCTCGCGACGAACTGCTCAGCATGGGCACTATGGTCGGCAAATTTACTAAGGTCCGAGTCTCTCTACTGTTATTCTGGTCAACGATGCTAATATTATGGCAGACGGGCAAGTTCCGCATCAACTTGACAGCTCTGGATCTTCTGGCGCAACACGCCCGGTACAAGGTACGTGGTACAAGTTTAGCAATGCAACAACGCATCATGCTAACCCTAGATCTCTATCACAGGTCTGGATCAAAGCAAATGGAGTGATGGTAAGCTTATTCAACCTTCCGACATGATCTGCTTTGCTCACAATATTTTAGCCTCTACTCTATGGCGGCTCAGTTCTAAAAGCCCACGTGGCTCGCTTTTCAGAAGATTGCCCCGAAAACGCTGGCGTTGTAATTTATGATCAGAATGACACTGCCCTGGGGTTCGGAGTTACAGCACGGTCATCCGCGCAGATCGCAAAATTGGATCCTACCAGTATCGCGGTCCATCGTCAGGTATGTACAGTTTGGCTCTGATGGTTACTTACGTTGGCTAACCGAACCGAATAGGCCGACGCGGGAGAGTACCTCAGAGAGGTGGGTTGGATCTATCTTCAAATTTTCGAGGACCAAATTGCTAACATTCACATTAGGAGGATACGTTGTTCACAACCTAAGCAAATTCAACATGAGACCGAATCTTACATGTTTGCACCTCGCAAAAGGCGTTTGGGAGTTTTACCTGATCTATCTGATCTTACAAAAGTTGACTACGCATTTTACCATCGAATCCTGTGCTCACTGCTTCTAATGTGATGAATTGATGGCAAATGTTGACCAACAACTTCTCTGTAATGGTTGCTATATGAAAATATACACTCTAAATACACATCGATTCAAATTCAATATATAGAAAATCAATAGCCATGCCAAGTCTATCTATGGACACATAGCCGCCTATAGGTTGTAGTTGATGTTGAGACTTGTTGATAAACTTGATGAGTCAGCATATCAGATCCCGAGGTCCATCCAATCTTTGGAAAGGCGCGGGACGATAACTCACTACAGACCTCGTAGCCTTGGTGTTTCTTATAACTTCCAATCCAAACAGAATTTCTCTCACACTATCAATACACAACACGCGCTTTCAATTCCCCCCGCGTGTTTCCACCACTTGTTGCATTTCTCCTGCATGTAGCGGGCACAAATACTGCCAACCCCCGCCATGCCACCCTACACAACCAGCCAGAAACATCAAATCGCTGAGTTTGTCGGCTGTACACGGACAAAAGAGTCCGTTGCTATTAAAGTAAGTGACATGCATGCTCTCCTGGCCTGTTCTCCCCTATGTGGTCCGTTTGAATATCTTAAGACGCTTCTGTCCGGTCACGTGGATCAAAGGATTAACTTTCTGATATAGTTCCTTAAAGCATGTGGTTGGAGTTTACCTCCAGCGCTTGATGCGTAAGTGCTTGTCATCACACATGTACCGAACTTCTGTGTCCCTTTGAACTCTTTTTGATTTGTCTCCAACCCAACCCCTATTTGGATATGCAAGATGCCAGCAGATAGCTAGGGTATCAAAGCTTCAACATCTGCTCTTCTCTTTGCAAGGCTTACCCAAGTCTCACTTGGAGAATCTCTTGATCTCTCATCACATCATTCATCGTCCCAAATGCCTCGAGTGAAGAAGACGAAGAAGAAGTGCTTGCCATTCCCTAACCCCATGACCCCATACCCAGCCGTCACGATCAAGCGACATCATACATAGTCTACACCTGAAACATCCCAAAGCTGACCTTGTCTCTGAAATAGTTTCTTCGCCGCTGCGGCTGGCACCTCCGCAGTTATAACCTCAGAACTCACAAAGATCTTCGAAAGCTACCGAGGTACTTGCGCACCCTTGACTGATGATTTAATGCCTAAAATGCTCACACCTCCATAGATGACCCAGTCGACAGCCCAGATACCATCGGTATCACCCGAGCAATAGATTTCCTTGGCGATTTGAAAGTCGAGCTCGACGAAGTAACCTGCCTAGCCATCGCCGAGCTTCTCCAATCACCATCGATGGGCGAGTTCACCCGCGAAGGATGGATGGAAGGATGGCTAAGAGCTCTGTAAGTGCACCACCGACTCTGAAAGACACCCCCCTTCAACCCAGACTCCAAATACCCTCAATATCACATCCATCCAATCTAACAATCCACAAGCTGTGACACCATGCCAAAAATGCAAGCGCACGCCAAGCTCCTCCGGGAGCGAATCCCCCGAGAACCACAGACCTTCCGACGAGTCTACAGATACGCATTCCCGCTCTCACGGATGCAAGGACAACGCAACCTGCAATTCGAAATCGCCACCGAGCAGTGGCGTCTCTTCTTCACGACTGACCACGGCGGTGTGGCATGGAACACGGCAACGACGCCGTGGCTGGACTGGTGGATTGAGTTCCTTGAAGAGCGTGGGAAAAAGCCCGTTAATAAGGATCTGTGGGAGCAGGTTGAGGTGTTTATGCGCAAGAGTCTCGAGGATGAGGAAATGAGCTGGTGGAGTCCTGATGGTGCTTGGCCTGGTGCGCTGGATGACTTCGTTGCTTGGGTGCAGGCTAAGAGGGGGAAGGGGTCGGAGATGGAGGTTGAGTAAGGTGACCTCTGGTTTATTCGTGGATGTCGGATATGAGTGACTTGTTTCTTCTCGTTTCCAGGTGGGTTGGGGCATAAGTTGTGTGTGTCATGACCGGTAATTTACTTTTCACAATCCATGCTCACTTGTGCCTTATCCACTATGATATCCACTGACACCCTTCCTATGTCTCGGATCTTTCGTACATAAGATCAAATCAACAACGGCCACGTTGTGTCCCAAGTAATGTCAAGGGTCGTTACATTTCGCTCGGTTCTATCTATTCCGACTTTCACAGTTAGAGAAGTGTAGATGGGCAGGGGCAAAGCAACAGCGCGACTAGCTCAAATAGAGAAAAAAAATTATATAAGTAACAATCTTCAAGGGGTGGAAATGAAATAAACCAGAAATACAAAAGCCATTCGTCGTAAGATTGAGTGAAAACATCAGTGGGGAGATATCTGCGGCAGTGAGGATGCACAGGGGGTGTGTCCATGGATTTAGATCAATACCGGAGAATTATAAACAAAGGGGAAAAAGGTAGTTCGGTGACTGCAAACAAGCCAAAAGAGACGGTACACATAGGTCTTCAATATGTCTTCCGGTTTTGTATGCAGTCAGTTGCGGACTGGACCCATTTAAGGGAAGTCGCGCTTCTCGTAGCTGGGGTCGCGACGCTGGTCATAACGCTGTCGAGTCATTAGCAATAAGTCACAATTGAAGCATTTTAAGAACAATTAGATCCTACCTTCCGGAGAGCCTCCAGACGCTTCTTCTTGGTGTGGGTGTTGACGTAGGTTCCAATGATGAATCCAACAACATTGAAGAAGGGTACCCAGGCGTGCTCGGGGAGGAACTTCTGAGCGAAGGCCAAGCACAAGGGCGAGGTAATCCAGCTGACCTTCATGACAGGCATGAAGCCAGCCCTAACGGTAGCGCGAACCTGGTGGATGGTCCGCGCACCGGCGATAATAGCCATGGAGGTCAGGTAGACGCTGTTTTGGATGGGGGCAACCTGGGGAAACGGGAGTATATTAGGCAAAGCTCAGGTCATGTGATCGCAGCGACGACAACGTACAATCAGATTGCTAATGAGGATCTGGAGAATCTTGGCCTTGAGACTTGTGCGACCGTTAAAGAGTTTCTGCAAGATGCCAATGAGAACGTGGCCGAGGGGGGCGCTAATAAACATTCCGTACAGCGACATCTTAGGGATGCGCGAGCTGAAGTAGTGGCCGTGCTTGCCGACATCGTGGGCAATCCACGAAGCCAGCAATTCCTGCAGACCGGAGAGCACACCGGAGGTGAGCATCTTCGTGCGCAGAGGGTTCTCCTGGAGCTGGAGGAGGTAGGCCTATTGACGATCCATTCCCCAGATCAGCATCGGTTCGAACTTATTGGAGAAGGGGGGGAGGGGGTCGGTTCGCTGCATACCTGAAGATATCCAGCGGCTGTGTTTCCACCGGTCAATCGTTCACCGACAAGGTGCATGAGGTCTTCAGTCTTGCCGTCACCTGTGACGGTGCGGACGGTCTCCTCTTCGAACTTGACGGACATAATGACGATCAGAGGGGGTTGGGGAAGGGCAGGATTCAGGAGGGATATGGATCAAGAAGGGTCTTCAGATTAGACACGCTCCTAGTTGAAGTCAATAGTTTGAATAGGATAAAGATGTACGGAGTACCTGATGATAAGGTGCCAAGTGGAGAAGTTGAGAAGATGATGGGGGGTGAAACCCAGGGTGTTCTTGTTTGTTTATGTTGGCCCGAGTGTGGCTGGGATAGGAATAGGATGGAAGGACAGCCGAGGCTTATAACTCACACAAAATCTCTTCCCACGTCAATTGAATATATCTCCGATCAAAGAATGTTGGAAGATTGTATTCAGGAAATGGAGACGGCTATGCGAACAATCGGCAGATGGATCCCCGAGACCCATTGGCGGAGCACATCGGAAACCCCGACGGCTTTTGGTTGAATCCGGGGCTTTGACGGCTTTCAAGTTATTTTTAATTTGGTATACACTTTTATACATCATGCTTTTCAAGTAGATCTCATTGATCTTGGAAGTTTTACCATTTGTCATTTTTTGACCTGGCAAGCTCAGGGCTTCATTGTCCACTGACAATGAAGCCCTGAGCTTGCCATGTCTCCACAACTACCTGCGAATTGTCTCTTTGCTCGGATTTTTGGAATAACTTGTTTGATTTGTTACTCAAAAGTGTATTGCCTACAGAATGTAGAAGTGTGGGACTTTTCGGTTCAGATCCTTTGTAGTGTACATATCGTATAGCTAACTAGTTAGTATGGGGTACAACAGCACTATCTTCTAACTATACTTATTATGTATGCGTGGAAGTTGCCCGCCAACTATCTCTTGCCGATTTTGTCTTCAATTTCTCTAAATCTACGAGGTGCTAGTCCTAGAATCTAACATCCAGGCCACGAGTCCATGTTCTTTCAGTCAAAAGGGCTCTGGGGGCAAAGCATTAAAGGATAATCACCGTGTTCCTGCATAGTTAACAGGCATTAAAGCAAGCCCTTGTGCCACTCAAGCTTGTAATAGCTTGTGTCTCGTCCCACAATTCAGTCAAATGTATAGATAGGCCGGCGAGCAGCAACCGGGCCGGAGCACGCACAGGATCGGTGATTCCAATTTCAGACAGAACGAGCCGTGAAGATGAAACCCCTCCGTCGACACAGTTGCACTCTGTACTTGTTGAGTAAAATGCTTAGCGAGAGAAATAGTCTCGTCGGAAGCTTCAAATGACCGCGGGGGACCCGGCCATCTGGGGTGTATCGCGACCGTTGTCAGGGTCATGGTCATGGTCGTCGCCCGGGGTAGTCGCCGGGCACAGCCTTGAGCTTGTTGTCCCCGGCGACGACGAGTCAGCGACGATATCAGCAAACGGTAGCCCCCCTAGAGGAACCATTTCAGATTCCGAACCATCCTCTCCCTGCTCTTTTCATCGGATTTCATCTGTTCTCTGCCATTGATTCAACGCAATACCTTCTTCATTCTCAGTTTCATCACATCTGTAACTCTCCCGCCACCGGCCAAAGTATCAAGTCTTTTTCTAGTGTGCAAGCTTTTGGCGGCACACCGGCGTGACACTCTTCACATTCAAGCATAGCAACGTACTTCGCAGTCAGTGGCGGAAGTACCAAGCCTTTCTCTTCCCCGGTGTGTAGTCCTTCTGGCAACACGGTGAGACATTACCTTCCACATCTTCGTTCTCATTCGCAAAAATCTCATATCTGTCAGGGACGAGACATCCCGACGCCACACCAATCATGCCTTCACACCACTCCAACATGGAGTCGCCAGAGCCTTCTGGTTTCGAGGCCGAGCTGCAAGATCGACGAACCCTCACCGAGGAATACAACGTGTCCAGTGGTAGTCTAACAATAGCGCCATCATGCATCACCACCGAGAGCGATGAATCTGCAGTCAACATAGCCCCTGATGAGAGCACAGGTTTTGTTGGAAGCATTCGACGACATTTTCGATTGCGCCATCACAATAATCATGAGTTTGCCAGTCGCCATGGTGGCCTTGATCTTGTTCGGCAAAATGTCGGATTTACCGGTCGCCACGGTAGACTTGGGTTACGCCAGCGGCTTCGTGAATTCACCAGTCGCCAAATCGGTAGATACCGTCACCGACGGATGTTCAGACGACAAGACAATGCGCTTCCAAGCCACCAGACGAGGAACATTCAACCAAGTTTTGAAGATCATGATTCGATCCTCAGAGGATTTGACAATTTACTCACCGCTCGCCAGGCCAGGAACAACCAGCAGGATGTCGAAGATCGTTATTCGATGCTCAGACGGCTTGACGATCTGCTCGCCGCTCGCCAGGCCAGCAACAGCCAACAGAATGTCGAAGACTTCAATTCCCAGCACGCATATGGATTGCTCACGTTCGACCTGTTGCAGTTGCCATCTGTTCCTCAGCTTGCACATGGATCGGTCATGCCCGAAGCTTCCCTGTTGCAAAATGACAATATCGAAGGCCACAGCCTTTCAAGTCCAAGTCTTCACATGCAAAACCGTGCAGCCAGCTCTGTCAACTCTCACCAGAGTAACATCCCATACTACACGGCCAGACATGATAACAACGATGAACTTCGGGTCACCGAAAATTCCGATAATGACCCACCCAGCGACCAGAGTTCTCAAGTACGACGCGGCAGATCGCTTCAGCTAGCTGGAAGCAATTTCAGCGATGCGCTTTCTGAGGTTTGGGGCGGCAGCCAGCCATCCAGAGACCATCCCGAAGAACCTCGAGGCAGAAGACTTTTGCGAACCTCCAGCGTTGTCAGCGATCCGTGGGCAGAGCTCTGGGGTCCCATCCGCCCACCGAGTGACCCAAGTTCTGAAGAGCGACGCGGCAACACGTTTCGACGAGATGGGAGCTCTGCCACCGATCCACTTTCCATGAACGAGATACTCGGAGCCGTTAATACTGCGTTTCACAATTGCGATATCGAAGAAAACGGCAGCTCTCCACATCCAGCTCCACAAGCACAAGCTCATGCGTCCAGCTCCGTGCCCCCACAAGACCGAATCTATAACGTCATTTCCGCTCTCCGAGAACCTTCTCGTTCAATCGGACATTCACAGTCCGCGGCAAGCTACGACAGCGAGGAAGAAATGAAGCAAACGAATCTCAGGGTGGCACGGTGGGCTGAGGAAGTTCAGCGAGCACTTGAGGAGGAGAACATTGTGACCCTGCGGCCTGAACCAGAGCAAGAACTTGATGCGTTCTGCTTGGAAGTGGATCGAATCATGGCAGGGAACGTCTCAATTACCCGTCATTACGAGGCTGCCGGCCGTGGCTTCGACGGTGCTAACGATGACGCGGTGCACCGGCATCCTGTTCTTCTGAGACTGGTTTAAATGGTGGCGGATCTGCAAGCGAGGATGCGGGCGGCGATGATAATGATACAGGGCTGAGGTGCTATCCAGGGGTTGGTGGCGTGGGCAACGAGAGGTGGCGGCACCGATCCAGGAGTCACGTTGAGGAAGGTCACGCTTCAACGAGATCTGAGGACTCCGATGACTCCGGAGGTGTCTGCCTACCTTCCGTTATCTGCCTCACCAGAACCGCCAGCCCGCAAACGGAGCCTGATGAGGAACTCTCAACCCTTGCGCCCCGTATCATTATCACTCCCCCAGACAATGAAGCTGAGCACACCGGGGGTCAGCAGGTAAATCCCCGCCTGCTGTACCCTGAGTACAATCGCTAAGTGGGCTGAGGAGCGGGGCCGCCCGCAGTTTATATATTTCACTTGCCTTGCTACATTCATCGTGTGAGGGGGAGATGAAGCCGGGGCGAGGAAGAGATGGAGGTGAGGTGAGGCGGAAGATGAGGAAGAGGTGGAGATGTGCGGCGGGTGAGCGGGGGGTGGACGGGGGGGTGAGCGGCATGTGAGAGGAGGATGAAGGGGGGTGGAACTCAGATTCCACATGTGAAAATCGGGGATTTCCCCCAAAATGAAGAATTTCCAAGCATGATTCCAAGTAAACTTAAGACTCACTAGAAAGATCTAATCTATGTAAATGATGTTGAATTGGGCATTCCGTGAGCCCAGATGAGCAAAACCAAGTAGAGAAACCATTTCCGGGGCTAGAGGGTGTAACTCCGTTTGCGCGACTTACCTATGTAGATAATTATATACTATCTTATAAACTATCAAGATAACTGTAAGAAAATAAGGAGATATAGCATGTGAATGCAGTCAAAGTATAGTTAGCAGGTTAGGCGATGACTAAAATGCTGGGGGATTACACCTCGGAGATAAGATTGAACTTCCTCAAGTTCCGAGCCTCGGTTCCACGAGTGCGATTCCACCCTGCCTCAAGTACATTTTATTTCTCTCTTTCTCATGTTCATCATACACGATGTCCGACCCTGAACACCCTCCAGGCGAGGCGACAGATGTCCAGGCGGGGAAAACACCCGCCTGGAGCTCATGCGCAAATCGACAACTGCTGGCCGTCTTGACAACAACCGATGTGACAATCCGCCGGTTGGATCTGTAAGGCCCCTTTCGATTTTGATATGCTAGGGCGAGAGCTCGGCACCCAACACAGATCTTTAATATTGCTGACCGCTCCCTTAGACTACTTTCGGAGGCAAACGGACAAGAGCGAGTACTAGCGACTGTCGACTATGTCGCCTCCATGCTCCACCACCTCACTGCGTCAGCGCCCTGGATAGCATTGCAAACAAGACTGCGTATACTAGCACGACTGAAGGGTCGTGTACCCACCAATAACGTCACTCCCGCGTCGTCAAAATCAAAATTCGCGGCCCTTTCCTCCCTCGCATCAGAGACGAGATACAACTTGCGCCTATTTGGGCTGCTTCCTTTGTGGATCTGGGGAGTTGAAACCCTCAAATCGCCGCCAGCTGACCCCATCCTCCACGCCCTGACCGTGCTGCAGGTCATCTCAAACGTGATCTACCAGCTTCTCGAGAACGTGGGCTACCTTGCTTCTAAGGGAGTCGTCTCGAAGCGCTTCGTGAACAAATATGGAGGCGTTGCCAAGTGGGAAATTTGGAGTACTCGTGGATGGTTTGGGCACATCTTCTTCGAATTTTTCGTGCTCTGGCGCCAGAGTGTGATGCGCAGACAGCGGTTAGCTGCACAGCGAGCGGCTGCCGGCACGGTCGAGACTAAAGAGACCAAGGCTCAAGATAGCGAGGCACTGCGTTTGGAGATTCGGGCTTGGCGAAAAAGCATGGTAAATAACTTCATCTGGGCTCCCTTGTGTCTGCACTGGTGTGTCGAGAAAGGCATCGGTATTCCCGATAGCCTGACCGGACTAATCAGCTTCTGCGCCGGGGCTTGGAGTCTCCATGACTGCTGGGCTGGAACCGCAAGTGTTAAAGCATAGAGACTCGAGCATGTGGTAATCATCGGACTTTTCTCTTCTTTTCTTATTTGTACAAATCTCCTTTTTAATTGCATATATGCCTGGTGTTGACAGTGCACATGGTTGACTATCGGCTTTGCATTTTCTAGGTTTACACTATCTTTTCAGAATATAGTCCGGCCTTGATAATCGCATAGCAGTGTTGGATGAGGGGTTTTTTGGTTCAAGCTTTGCCAAAGATTTCGTTTCCCTTTAAAAGCATGACATTTCTCTATCATTTAAATCCTTGGAGGCCAGATGGGTCTCCATCCAAGAATTTGGGAAATTCGACATTGTCCGATAATGCTTCTGTGGTGTCAAGCATGGACTTCATCATGTCTAATTCCAGCCACCTGGAGTGGATATTTCTCCAAATTCGAAAAAAGTGCGCCATGGCGTTTTTACATAATTGCCTTTTAGAATTGCTGTACTCCGGAGATGCAATTGAATTATTTCAAGGTCCTCTCGGCTGAGTTGGAGGACCCTGGTAACCATATTTACAGTAGCTATTACCAGTTTTGCCTCAGGCACAAAGGCTTTCAATCGACTGAGTTCCATGCGCTTCGTTGTGGCGGACACCGCGATGACATAAGCGCAGGGCTTAGGTCATCATCATCAGTCTAGGAGCAGAGGTAGGAAGCTCAACATCATCGCTCCCGTTACCTACCTCTATCTCCACTTAACCCGTAGTCAGGTTCGCTCTTTGATTCTGATCTATAGGTTCTTTCCATTTTCTGTTTTCATTTCTCGCTGCCATTTGAATCCGTGTCTCGCTCCGCCTGTTTTTGGGCACTGGACACCTTTGTTCACTCAAGCCTACTTCCATCAACGTCACGACCTCATTTACGGCCATCATGTCTTCTGAGCCAGATCACACGCACGATAAGAAGAGGGTCCATCTGCAGTACGTTTGATTAAAAATTTCCTTGGTTATAGAGTGTGCTAACCGGTCCCCAGGGACGCCTCGGGCGCTGAGAAGAAGGAGGTAAGGATTATGCTACGGGATAGCTTACAAAAGCCTCGGAACTGACGAAAAATGCAGGAGCTTGATACCTCCACCGCTATCTTGAAGAAGAAGAAGAAGCCCAACTCCTTGATGTGAGTAGCTGATAAGAGATATCTGTTGGGAGCAAGAAGTTGACCGTTTTCGTGCAGAGTGACTGATGCCGTAAACGATGATAACTCGGTGATTGCCCTCTCGAACAACACCATGGAGACTCTCCAGCTCTTCCGTGGTGATACAGTTCTAGTGAAGGGCAAGAAACGCAAGGACACTGTGCTGATCGTCCTGGCCGATGACGATCTTGATGATGGAAGCGCCCGCATCAACCGTGTTGTGCGTCATAACCTTCGGGTCAAACACGGCGATATGATCACTGTGCACCCTTGCCCCGATATCAAATATGTAAGTGGGGCAGTTCCACATCATTCTACTCTGGTCTTCTGGCTAATCCTATCTCCGTGATCTAGGCCAAGCGTATCGCTGTGCTCCCCATCGCTGATACCATTGAGGGCCTGACCGGCTCTCTCTTCGACGTCTACCTTGCTCCCTACTTCCGCGAGGCCTACCGACCAGTCCGACAGGGTGACTTGTTCACAGTACGAGGTGGCATGAGACAAATCGAATTTAAGGTTGTGGAGGTCGACCCTCCCGAATACGGCATTGTAGCCCAGGACACAATTATTCACTGCGAGGGTGAGCCCATCCAACGAGAAGATGAGGAGGGCAACCTCAACGAGGTTGGCTACGATGATATTGGTGGATGCCGCAAGCAGATGGCTCAGATCCGTGAATTGGTCGAGTTGCCTCTCCGTCATCCTCAGCTCTTCAAGTCCATTGGTATTAAGCCGCCCCGTGGTATCCTGATGTACGGTCCTCCCGGTACCGGTAAGACTCTGATGGCCCGTGCTGTTGCCAACGAGACTGGTGCTTTCTTCTTCCTGATCAACGGTCCCGAGATCATGTCCAAGATGGCTGGTGAATCCGAATCGAATCTCCGCAAGGCCTTCGAGGAGGCCGAAAAGAACTCCCCCGCTATCATTTTTATTGATGAGATCGATTCCATTGCCCCCAAGCGTGAGAAGACCAACGGTGAGGTCGAGCGCCGTGTAGTTTCCCAGCTGCTCACCCTTATGGACGGTATGAAGGCCCGTTCCAACGTTGTGGTCATGGCTGCTACCAACCGTCCTAATTCGATTGATCCTGCTCTTCGTCGGTTCGGCCGTTTCGATCGTGAGGTCGATATTGGCATTCCCGACCCAACTGGCCGTCTTGAGATCATGCAGATCCACACCAAGAACATGAAGCTTGGCGAGGATGTCGATCTGGAGACCATTGCCGCTGAGACCCACGGTTACGTCGGTTCTGATCTTGCTTCCCTCTGCTCTGAGGCTGCTATGCAGCAGATTCGTGAGAAGATGGATCTCATTGATCTCGATGAGGACACCATCGATGCCGAGGTCCTTGAGGCTCTCGGTGTCACCATGGAGAACTTCCGCTTTGCCTTGGGTGTCTCCAACCCCTCGGCTCTCCGCGAGGTTGCTGTGGTCGAAGTTCCCAACGTTCGCTGGGACGATATTGGTGGCCTCGAAGAGGTCAAGCGCGAGCTTGTCGAGAGCGTCCAATACCCCGTGGACCACCCCGAGATGTTCCAGAAGTTCGGTCTCTCACCTTCTCGCGGTGTGCTATTCTATGGTCCTCCTGGTACTGGTAAGACCATGTTGGCCAAGGCTGTTGCCAACGAGTGTGCTGCCAACTTCATCTCCGTCAAGGGCCCTGAGCTTCTGAGCATGTGGTTCGGTGAGTCTGAGAGCAATATCCGTGACATCTTCGACAAGGCTCGTGCTGCTGCTCCTTGTGTCGTCTTCCTTGACGAACTGGACTCCATCGCCAAGTCTCGTGGTGGTTCCGTTGGTGACGCCGGTGGTGCCTCCGACCGTGTTGTCAACCAACTTCTTACTGGTCAGTTTCCGCTGTT